AAGGTAAAACGGGGGGGGGGGAACTGAAGCAGATGTTAGTCTCTGAAGCACAGAATTTTTTTAGAGATTATTTTTTTTGTTTGAAAACAAATCTACTGCCATGTAGTTGATTTCTAGTCACGATGACTCTTCTCTAAGTTATTTTTATTATTATTACTATCACTTTTGAAGTCAATATTGATAAAACAAATCCATTTCCAACTCAACCATTCATATACATTTTGTTTTATACCATTACAATAAACACAAGGTAATTGCACTTTTCCCTTTATATTAGTAATTTCCACTAATCCTTCTCTCTTATAATTTTCTGATTTTAAATCTTAATAGGAAAAGATTGACACAAGCTTTTGTCTCAGAAAAGCTGATGGATTTGAACTGCCAACCTTTCAACTAGTAGGCCAACACTTAATGTGCTATGCCAATGTTGTTGTTGTTTATCATCGAGTTAGAATTGACCAATAGCTGATTCTCTGGTGGATTTTCAAAGACAGTTAATGACAAATGATGAGACTGTCCATCTTTCTTCAGTGGAGCAGCTAGTTGACTTGAACTGCATTCCTCTGGAATTGGATCACAATTTCTTACCAGAGTTCACATGCCATAAGAGCTATAAAGAAAAAAAAAAGAACGAGGAATAAAGATGAACAGATTTCAAAAGGAAGCTATAAAAGGCAAACTAGTTTTATAATGAAACAATGCAAAGACCTGGAGTTAAAAAAACAAAACATTCTCACTGTTCTCAAACTGAAGGAATTGAAGAAAAAGGACAGTGTTTGGTGGAGCTCCCAGATTAAGATAGGTTTGGAAGCAGGAGTGGTATCCACTTCCTAAACAACATGCTTGTCAATAGATTACTTCATTATTGCAACTGTTGTTAAGTGCCATCAAGTTGAGGATGATTCATAGCGACCCTCTGAAAAAAGGGTCCTCAATGAACTTAGAGAAACGACAATAGTTATAGAAGAGGGTTCGGGCCCTTTTTTCAGAGGGTCGCTATGAGTCATCCTTGACTCGATGGCACTTAACAACAACAGTTGCAATAATGAATTAATCTATTGACAAGCATTTATGACACAATTTTTTTTCAAGATAGAAGAAATGCACAGAGTCACTGTACCCAACAGAATGGGTAGATACTTAATTACCCAGGAAATAGGATATTAACAAGAAACAATAATACTGAAGGAAGAAATCAAAGCTGCACTAGCAGTGTTGATGAAAAACTAGATCCGGGTGTTACTAGAACACCAGCTGAAGTATTTCAACAAAGGGAACACTAGGAGTATTCACTTGTCTATGCCAAGAAATTTGAAAGACAATGTCCTAACTACAAGGTGGAAGAGATTAATATTTGTGATTATTCAAAAGAAAGATAAACTTATGGAATTCAGAGATCATTGAACAATACCAGTAATATCATATACAAATAACATCTAGCAAAAATAATTTAAAAACTACTGGAACAGTATATGGTCAAGGACCTTCCAGAAATTTAATCTGAATTCAGCATAGGAATAGAACAAGAAGTATTACGGCTGATGTCAGATGGACTTGGGTATTAAAGGTTACTAAAAAGATATTTACTTGCACAAAAGCATTTGACTGTTGTAAAACAGAGCAAGAGAAATGTGGGGAAGGCCAAGTCTGACTTCTACTAACTCCACAAAGGTGAACAAAAACTGATCCCTGTAAGGTCAAATACAGTCCCCCACACTGCTGCACTGACATCGAACTGTGTCTGATATTCCTTCCAAATTATAAGATTTGTTAAGGAAATTGTTTAGGGAACAGAGAATGCAAAGGATATCATGTAGTCTAGGCTTAGTGAACAATGGTTCCAAGTCATATTAATAGCAAGACACAATTTCTCAATTAGTTCAGATTGTTTCTTGGTCAACAAATGAAAATCCTGATTTAGCCCTCAATTGTCCAGAAAGCTTTGTCTCATAGTAGTCACAAGTCAACTTAAAACAACTGTGAGATATCATCTCATTCCAGTAAGAATAGCAAAATTTAACAGAACAGCAAGCAACAAATGCTGGCGAGGTTGTCGAGAAACTGGAACCCTTATTCACTGTTGGTGGGAGTGTAAAATGGTGCAACCACTATGGAAGGTGGTATGGTGCTTTCTCAAAAATTTGCAAATAGAAATATCATTTGACCCAGCAATTCCATTACTGAGAATATACCCCAAAGAGACCATAACTGACATCCAAGCAGATATATGCACACCCATGTTTATCACACCTTTGTTCATGATAGCAAGGAGTTGGAAACAACCTAAGTGCCCATCAACAAATGAATGAATAGAGAAGCTGTGATATATTCACACAATGGAATACTATGCTGCATTGAAAAGCAAGGGACTCATGCATTATTATTCAAAATGGGTGTCTCTGGAGGACATTATGCTAAGTGAAGTATCTCAGTCACAAAAGGACAAATACTGCATGGTGCCACTGTGTAAGACAGGACTGACCTTGGGGTTGGGGAGAGACTGAGAAAGATGATTCAATAATGTGTACTGCATTGAAACAGATGAGGGAGAAAACTGTTTAAAAAGGATGTGTGATTAGGTATTTTTGTCATGACAGGAGTCTAGAGTGATGGCTACATGGTGGAGTGGATCTGGGGGAGGGTTTGTAAAACAATGAAAGAATTTTTCTTTTACTGTTCCAATAAGGTAGTGAACTAAGGGGGAGGGTTGGGAGGGGAGAAAAGTGCAACAGTGAATGAACAGAAATCCAAAAGTCTCTGTAAATTTTTACTAAAATTAATAATAAATTTAAATAAAACAAAAAATAAAGAAAAGTATGCATCACGATTGTATTCTTTCAACCACACTGATTCAGTCCTGTATGTAGGCTAAGCAAATACTCTGAAAAGCTGAATTATATGAAGATGATCTTGGAAGCAGAATTGCAAAAGGTCTCATTAACAACCTGTGGTATGCAGAGAGACTGTACAATTTTGTTTTTGCCATATGCCATCAATTCTACTATGACTCATAGTGTTTCTATGGGCAACAAATTTGGAACTTGTCCTCACTGTGTCAATCCATTCTATTGTGACTCTCTACCTTTCCCAGCTGGATATCTTTTTCCAAGGACTGACCTCCCCTGGCAACATGCCCAAAGTATATAAGACAAAATTTCACCATCCTTGCCTCAAAGGCACACCCTGGTGGTGCTTCCTCCATGTTAGATTTGTTTGTTCTTTTGGGAGTTGATCCATATTCAGAACTATTAACTAACACCACAATGCAAAGGCAGTGACTCTTCCTCTGTTATCTTTATTCATTGTCTAACTTTCAGATGAATAGGAAACAAGTAAAAAGACCATGACTTGAATCAGGTACACTTTAGTCTTTAAACTGACATTGTTGTTCTTTAGAACTTTTGTGTAGTCTTTGACAGCAGATTTTTTTTCTTAGTGCCAGACATCTTTTGATCTTGATTGTTGCTACCATTGGTGTTGATGGTTGACATAAGTAAAATGAAATCATTGGCAAATTCAGTCTTTTCTCTGTCCATTGCTGCATTGTTTATTGGTCCAGTGGTGAAGATTTTCATATTGTCATGTTAACATGCAATCAATATTGGAGGTTGTAGTCTTTGATCTTCTTCAGGAATTGCTTTAAGTCTTCTTCATTTCTGTGAGCAAGGCTGAGCATCTACCGGTTTTTGAGTCATCTTCTAATCTCCAAAATACTCACAACTAGACCAAAAGGCAGCAACATGTTGCATGAAGAAAAGATTGAGGTGAACAGTGATTTTCTTTTATTTGGATCCACATTTGACACTCATAGAAGCTGTTGTTATTGTTGTTGTTAAGTGCCATCATGTCATAGATAACTCATAGCTACCCTATGAACAAAAGACCTAAACACTTGTATAACTTTCATCATTTCTCCAAGTTCCAAGAAGTAAGAGTCAAAATTTCAAAGGATTCTTTATACTGGGCAAATCTACTGCCAAAGGCCCCTTTAAAGATTTTCTTTAAGGGCATCACTTTGGAGATTAAGGTGTACCTGGCGCAAGTCATGGTACTTTCAATTGCTTTGTATGGATTAGAAAATTTTATAATGGTTTAAGAAAATTGGAAAGAACCATCTTTGAGTTTTGATGTTAGCAAAAGCTATTAAACATACCATGGACTGCCAGAAGAAACACATCTATCTTGGGAGAGAACAGACAAAATGCCTCTTGAAGTTAAGGATGATGTAACTTTATATCACATTCTTTGGGAATGTTATCAGGGGATCCATTACCTAAAGAAGGGCATCATTTCTGGTAAAGTAGCAATAAAGCAGGATGGGCAAAATCTCTGCAAGAAAGCTTTCAAGTACATTGAGGATTGTGGAGCTGGCACAGGACTACAGCGTTCCATTCATGGAACCCCATTCATACATGGGGTTACTGTGAGTGGGGACTGACTTGAAAGAACCTACAAATAGCAACATAAAGTAAAAATGAGCTCTAGAGGGGAATGGGAGGGCAAGGGGGTAAAATGTGCAACAAAGAGTTAATAAAAATCCAACTTAAAACATCCCATGGACTGCCAAATGAGCAATATTTCTTTTGAGGAACAAATGAACAAGTATTTCTTGGAGAGGGTATAGCCAGAGTACTCCTTGTAGGCAAAGATGATGACACTTCATCTCACATATATTGGGCATGTTGCTAGGAATGGTTATTCCTTGGAGGAGAACATCATGCTTGGTTGGAAAGGTGGAATGACAGTGAAGGAAAGGATGACCCTCAACCAGGAAGATGGACACAGTGACTGCAGAAATGGTCTTGAATGGATCAGAGATTGTGAGGATGGCATTGGACAGTACAGGGTTCAAATCTGTTGTTCATAGGGTCTCTATGAGTCATCCTTCACTGGATTGCAACTAACAACAAAATCTCTAAGGCAGCAGATTTTCACATCTTTCTACCATAGTGCAGGTGGTAATTTCAAGCCAGCAACATTTCAGTTAGCAAAGAAGAGCTTAACCGCTGTACCATTCCCCCTGCCCCAGTTGTCATGCAGTTGGAACTGACTCATAACTGACCTTTCACTGGGTTTCTGAGACTTTAAATCACAGAAAAGGAGTTTCCTATTATTTTGCCATGTAGGTGCTATTGGATTCAAAATTTCAGAGTCATGGCCTTTGAGTTACCATTGAAACTTCGTGCAGACTACACCACCAGAGCTCTGTTGCTATAAGGTAGATTTTTTAAAAATAATGTCCTCCTTTCCTTAGGATAGATGAGACGCATTTATTGCTGGAGAAGTCACCCTTGAATTATCAAATAAAATCCTTATCATATCATATATGTTCCCACCACATAGAAAGATGATCACTGTTAACATTTTAATTTATGTAGACATATAAATGCATATAAGTTGTTGTTGTTGTTGTTATTGTTAGGTGCCGTTGAGTCAAGCATGACTCATATGACCCTATGAACAAAAGATCTAAACCATGTTCTGTCCTGTGTCTTCCTCTCCTTCACCGACCCTTCACTCTTTCCAAAATCATGTCCTTCTCCAAGGAATAGCACCTCCTAACAACATGTTCAAAGCATGTGAGGCAAAGCCTCATCACTCACTCTCCAAGACAGTTCATTCTCTTGGCCATCCATGGGATGTTCAGTGCTCTTCTCCAAAACCGCAGCTCAAAGGCATCAGTTCATTTTCTGTCATCCTTGTTCATGTCTTGGTTGCATTGCTAGTTCTGAATCAGATGTACCTCCTCAAACTGACATCAGTATTCCTCAATAATTTGGAAAGGTCTCTAACTGCAGACTTACCCAGTGCAATGCATCTCCTTACTTCCTGACTGCTGGTACCAAGGGTGTTAACTGTGTATCCAAGCAAGATGAAGCTGTTGACGGTTTCAATCTCCTCTCCATCCATCACGACACTGCCTATTGATCCAGTTGTAAGAATCTTTTTTTTCTTGATATTGAGATGCAATCCATACCGAAGGCTGCATTCCTTGATCTTCTACAACAAGTGCTTCAAATCCTCCTCACATTCAGCTGGCAAAGTTGTGTCATCTGCATAACACAAATTATTAATGACTCTCCCTTCAATCCTGATGCCATACTCTTCCTCAAAGAGCCCAGCATCTTGTATAATTTGCTCAGCATATAGAGTGAACAGGTATGGAGAGAGAATATAATCAAAATGGATGTCAGAAGAGACTCTAAAGATCTAGAAAATTAATACAATTAAAATATATTAGATTGTATATTTGTATATGTTGCATTTATTTTATTTCATAATTTCCATTTTCTAGCAGAACTAAAATCTACAAAGGCTAAAATGACTTGTCCACTCTACATCAGGCAAATGGAAAAGCCAGAATCTAGACACACTAATATTCATAGTTTCCTGTTTTAGTCTCCCACTTGCCAAAAATATTTATGATATTTACACTGCCATAGAACAAATAGAACTTTGACTTATGTCTCAGAAGCACCATCGATAATTTCATGTGTTATCACGTTTCAGACAATTACATTTAGTTTTTCCCTGGAACTTTGGCGAATTGTACTGTCACTTGGGTGGGACTTTAGACCTCTAATGGGAGCGTGGGTGATGAAATAATTTACTGTGCCCTGTTAAGTCTCCTGCTTCTACCCTGCCAATCTCACACTTGCACAACCCTTTTTTCTGGGAGAACAACAGTATAGACAAAAAAACTCCTCCCTGAGTAGTAGTGCTTCTATAGAGATGCTAAGCTAATTCTTTGAGCCTCCCTCTCCTGCTAGCCCTCCCCTTCAGGCCACCCTCCTCTCTTCCTCAATTTTTGCAGCTGCAGAATCACCAGTACATCTCCTTGCATTGTAAGTGACCAGACTAGGCAAATAGAAAGACGAATGGTTAGTCAGGGAAATTTGGGCCACCATGATGGGAAAGGTGCAGAGGAAAACATTATGGCCACAGTCCTTTTGAAACATGCTGACAGTTGACAGATGAGTATCCATAAAATGACAAAGGCATCCCTGTGTAAAGCCCTTTGCCACCAGTGCTTCTCCCTGGGAAACTAACTGCCCTCAACTGTCAGTGAAAATATTATTTTTTTCCTAGTGATTATTCTTGTCTGTGTTTCTCTCACCACAGAATAGCCTACATTTTGCATATGTGTGTTTTATCCAGGCATAGTAAACACTGTTCATCCCCTCCAATGTTCTCTGAGCTATACTGTTGATTAAGTTATTATAATCAAATAGTTAAGTGGATTGTACAGTTGTCTGAGATCTTTGGAACACGTATCAGGAGAGTTCTAAGATCTTTTTTCCCCTTTAATTTTATTACAAATTATATTGTATCTTTATAGAGATTTGTTTTATAATATTAATTATAATTGATCAATTCATTATTACATTTTTAAATCAAATTCCATTTGTATATATTACTTTTCCTTCACCTAATATATCTATTTATTTACATACTCCTTTCTCCCTCCCTTTTCATCCTTATTAACCTTCCAAAAATACTTCTTATCTGTGAGTAAATCTCTCCTTTGCTTTTTATATTAGTATTCTTATACCATAATTGTACTTTTATAGCTGAGTTTTGTCACTCAGCTTAATAATTTCTAACTGATGTTAATAATCCCTAAAGATGTATGAGACATATCTGCACATGTTCACCCAAATTTGACTCTGCAACAAACAGGTGTTAAACAGGATACTGCATACTTGTTCTCAAAGAAGTCCTGCTATCATGACTGTGAAGTTTCTTATATTACTTATTCTGTCTGTTCCATTGCTTTCTACAACAGAAAAATGTATTTTAAAGCAGACGAGAAAACAAAACAAGAAACCTGAAAGAGTTGGAGTGTTGTGACAAAAGGTAAAAGCTCTTAAATAGAGGATATTTTGTTAGTTCTTGGGAAAATATATCATCCTACGAAAAGTGAAGGATCAAAGAAACAAGAAGATCCTCAACAAGATGGATTGATTCTGACTGTAACAATGGACTGGAGTAAATCAGGCATCTTGAGGAGGGTGCAGAATAAGACAAGGTTCAGATCTGTTATTCAAAGGATCACTATGAGTATTAATTGACTTGATGGCACCTAATCACAATCAAAATAATTACTTTCCTATTCATTGTTAGGTCGTTGCATTAATCTATCTCATTGACAGTCTTCCTCTTTTTTTTTTTTTTGCTGACCCTCTACTTCTCTCCATATGTTGTCTCTCTCTGGTTCCAACTGAAAATACGCCCAAAGTCAGTGAGAAGAAGTTTCATCATCCTTGCCTCTGAGGACTATTTTAGTTGTACTTCCTTCAAGACAGATTTGTTTGTTCTTTTGGCTGTCCATGGTAAAATCAATACTCTTCACCAACACCACAATTCAAAGGCATCAATTTTTCTTCTGTCATCCTTGTTCACTTCTCAACTTTCAGATTCAGAGGAAGCAAGAAAAAACATCATGATTTGGAAAAGGCATACATTAAACTGATATCATTGTGTGTGTATGGATCCATCCTATCACTCGTAGCATTGCATTTCAGCTAGAACTTGATATCTTGAAATACTCTTTATGACGATGAATGCTACATCATTCCTTTCTAATTGTCATTTCCAGTATAGACTATCACGTGATTGTGTCTGAAAAATGGCCAATATCAGTGCATCTCAACTCACTAAATGCCTGGGATGTTGATTTTTATGTGTCCATATCTTTTTTTATAAGACTTTCAATTTTCTTAGACATACTTCTTACATTCCATGATTCAAATATTATCAGATGTTTGCGGCTGTTTCCCCTCATTTTGAGTCTCACCATATCAGCAAACGAAGATTCTTCATCAGATGAAATCTTTTCTCCATTTGTGCCATTATGGTAGACTCTACTTTGAGTAGCCAGCTCTTGCCCACTCACATTTTGATTCCCTACTAACCTGAGCGGCCTGCCGGAACGAATGTCGCCCGGTTTTTGCTTCTTCGATTACCTGGGGAGATGGGAGGGGTCTGAGGCTGACCTCTAAGCTGCCCAGCCTTCAGCTAGTCGGACGCCTAACCCCTCCTCTGAGCGGCCTGCCAGAAGGATTGGCCATCCACTTCTGAAATAGCAGGCTGTCACCGACCACCCGACCACGGTCGTGACAAGAAACTCGAGGGGTTTCTTGGTGAAGAGCAGGTGAGGGACGAAGTCGGCGAAAATGAGAGTCTGCACACCAGGATGATGTAGAGAGCTCTAGTTTATTATGCTAAAAGCCTGCTTTTTATACATTTAAACTTGTTAAACTTGACTTATAGCCAACATTTTGTGATTACAAAGCTCACATAAGATTTTAACTAGAAAAAACAAAAAAAAAGTATTTTCTATTACTAAATAATAGCATCAGCTATTAAACATTCTTTGAACAAGAAACACAGTGACCTTATGTTGGTCATCTGCTAGACAAT